TGTCTTTTTTAAAAAATGGATTTGATGGAACAGTTGTTCTGAACAGTTTTCTTTGTGAAAACTGTTTTTTGAAATAGTCTATAGACTAAGGTAGAATTTTTTCATTTACTAAATAATGACAGGAAGCACCTGTTATCTACAGTTCAGTCAGTAATTTAATTCATCCTTTGGAAATGGGTATCTAGCCCCTGTCCTCATCCTCTCTGCAATATTGGCTATGTTTGAAAAGTATTACTTCATTTCTTTGAAAGATAATTTTATCATCTCATTTTACTAATCTGAATGAAACACCTTTTTACTGACACAAATGTGCAAAACTGTTTACCCTTTTCAGTTTTAGTTACAACTCTGCTTTATTTTTTAATTAATTGGGAATTAAAATATTATTAAAATAAAAAATCAGAACTAAAGATACCCAGACTTACTGATAGCTCCACAGATCAAGGCTTTGAATATAGTGTCAATCACATAAAGAAGCTATTCTTTGGGGAATTGGTGCAGCAGAGAATTCTTTCTTACCTTCCATGCAGGAAGAATGGATGGAGTTTGATTCTGGCCAATACACACATGTGTAACCATCATCCATCTCACAGTAAAAATTTATGTGTTACTATGTACACAGCTTTAGTTTGCTTGGCTCCATAGTCAACAGTCTTGGCACCAGCAGCCAGGAAATTAAAAGGTGCATTGCAATGGGAAAGTCTGCTGTTAGGGACCTCTCCAAAGTACTGAAGAGCAATGGTGTCTCTCTGGAGACTAAGGTGCATCTGATACAGGCTATGGTCTTCGCAATCACTTGTTATGCATCAGAGAGTTGGACAATGACTAGGGAGGATAGAAGGAGAATTGATGCCTTTGAGCTGTGGTGCTGGAGAGGAGTATTGAGGATACCATGGACTGCTAGGAAAACAAACAGATTTGTCCTGGAAAGGGTTAAACCAGGTGGCTCCTTGGAAGCAAGGATTCTGAGGCTCCATCTAACATACTTTGGACATGTTGTGAGGAGGGACCGGTCCCTGGAGAGGGATATCATGCTTGGGAGGGTGCAGCGACAGCGCAGGAGAGGAAGGCCCTCTATGAGGTGGATTGATTCAGTGACTGGGATAATTGGGATGGGAGTGTCAGAGACAGTGAGATTGGCACAGGACAGAGTGGAGTTTAGGGCTGTTGTGCATAGGGTCGCTATGAGTCGCAAGCGACTCGACGGCACATAACAACAAACAACATGATGCAGCATGGGTTTTAGTCAAACTCTCAGACTAGGAAAATGAAAAGAGAAAAGCCTCAAGAAGAAAGGAGTGAGGACATCCTGAAATATCAGTCAATCAAAAGTTTATAGATTGTCACAGTCTGACATTCAGTCCATCCTTGGGATGATGAGGACTGAGCAGAGTTTCAATCCACTGTGTATGGAGTTATTGTAGGTGAGGTTGTCTCAACCCAAAGAGAACTGACACCATCATCTTTTAGGGACCGACCCCTTAGGAATCATCCAAAGCATATCTGCTTAGGTAGGTGGGATGGTAGAATGAGCACTGTCTCAGGAAACTCAAATTCTAACTCACTTCTTTCACTGACTGGGGCTGAGGTTTTGAGATGGTAAACTTGTATTCTGAACATCATTTAAAAAATAAATAAACAGGCAAGCTCTGGTAGCCTACTGGCAAGAAGCTGCACTGCAATCCCAGAAGTGTGCAGTTCGAATCCACCAGATGCTCTGCTGGAAAAGGAGCAACAAATCTCCTGTATCAGTTAGATCTGATTTGACGGTACACACATGAAAAAATAAATAAAAAAAACTAAAAAAAAATCCCAAGAAGGGCTTAAAAGATTACATAGCTCAGATTCTTTCTGGTATTTGTTAAGTATTGACTTACTCAAGAGCATATACTCAAGTCAAATCAATAGGACTTAATAGAACTTTCCCCTCAAAAAATTGTCAATGTTATTGAACTCATATCTATTACTTGATATTTTTTTACATAAATTGAGGTAGCCTTTTTATTTAATCATCCTGATGGTTTTTACCTCATTCTTCTCTTATTTCATTATATTTCCTTTCCTTATTTCTAATTTTAAATCCTTTCAAGTCAATTTTTAGTATACTTCATAATTGTGATTGCTGCTAAATCTAAAATAGGAATTTGTTTTATTTAAAATAACCTTATTATATAATTTGCATTACTGGGGTTGAGTTTATTGTGTTATGTATATGCACATGCTTCATAAGTTGAGGATTTATGGCAAACCAACATAAAGCAAGTTTATTAGTGCCATTGTTTCAATAGCTTGTGCTTATGTCAAGTTTGTGTGTCATATCTTTGCAATTCTTATAATATCTCAAATATTTTCAATATTATTATAGCTTATATAATCATAGTGATAGTTGATCTGTAACCTGTAATTCAAGATATTTGATTTTTTTTCTTACTGTTTTGAAACACCAAGAACTATGTCCCTATAAAATGTCAAACTTCATAAATGTTTTGTGTATTCTTAATGCTCGATTAATAGCTGTTCTCTCGTCTCTTTTCATCTCCTCAGTTCTCTCTATTCCCTGAGATGGGACAATATTTAAATTGGGCCAAGTAATAACAGAGAAAGGGACATAGTTTAAAATCGGGAAAGGTGTTAGTCAGGATTGTATCCTTTCTCCATACTTATTTAATATAAATGTTAAGTAAACTATCCAAGAAGCTAGACTCTATGAAAAAACATCAGGATTGAAGGAAGACTCCTCAAAAATCTTCATTATGTAGATAAGACTACCTTGCTTGCTGAAAGTGAGTAGGACTTGAAGCACTTGCTGCAGAAGGTTAAACACTACAGCCTTCAATATAGGTTGCATCTCAATATTAATAAAACAAAAATCCTCACCACTGGACCAGTTGGAAACATTATACCATTTGGAGAAATGATTGAGACTGTCAATTAATTTATCTTACTTGGTTCTACAATTAGTACACTGGGTACCAGCAATCAGGAGGCCAAGCGACATAATGAACTGGTAGTCTATAGTCAAGGACCTCTTTAAATTATTGAGGAGTAAGGATGTCAGTGTGAGTATGAATGCACCTGACTCAGGCCATGGTCTTTCAGTCACTTGCTGTGCATCTGAAAGGTAGACAATGAATAAGAAAGATAGAAGATGAATTGGTGCCTTTGAATTACATTGGAGAAAAGAGCTAAAGATTTTATGAATTGTCAAGAGAACAAAAAGACATGTAATGGAGAAGGTGCAACCCCAGAGTGCTCTTTGTAGGCAAAGATGATAAAGCTTTGCCTCATATACTTTGGATGGACATGTTGCTAGATGAGGTTACTTTTTGGAGAGGGGTATCATGTTTGGGAAGGTAAACGAGTGGCAAAAAGAGGAAGATCAACAGGTGGGTTGACATGTTGACTGCAGCAATGGACTTGAGTGTGTCAGAGATTGTGAGGATGATACAGGATAGGATAGGGTTCAGATCGGTTGTTCATAGGGTCACTATGAGTGGTACTTGACTCCAAAGCACCTAGCAACAAGAAACAATAACCCTACAATAGACTCACTGAGATGAAAGGACAAATCAATGCAGCAAAACATCATTATTATCTTATTTTAGGAAATTACCAAAGCTTCTTTAATTTTGTCAGCAGCCATCAACCTTGAAGTGAAATCCTCCACCAGCAAAATTATTATGACATGTTAAAAGTTCAACTGGTGGTTAGAGGGGGTTTTTTTGGTGGTGGTGTGTTTTTTTTCAATAGGGCTATTTTTCATCAAAGTATATACATCATATTTTTAGACATAATGCTATAGTACAATTAATTATAGCATAAATATAACTTTTATATGCATCAGGAAACCAAAAGTTCATGTCACTCACAATCCTTTTACTGTGTGGGTCTGGAAAACAACCTCCAATCTCCCTGAGGTATGGTTGCTCTCTGTTTCCACCTTATTTATTTCAACTCTTCTCATTTAGTCCCACCTCAAAATTGATCCAATGATGTGTGTGTGTGTGTGTGTGTGTATTACTACTGTGCCATAATCTGGCCTCTTACTTTCTTTTTTAATATCCACAAAAGTTCAGAAACTTTCTGGTACAAGAAATTTTTCATTTTAAATACAGGTATCAAAGCACAAAATAAGGAACTGAAGAAATGTCCATGCTTTGAATTGAATAAGCACTTTAAAGCCTCTTCTTAGATTAAGAAAAGACTTTTTATGACACTCTAGATAGAAATTCTGCCATTAATGTATTTCATACAGTTAGACAAATGTGTATATGGACTACAGAGATTTTGTCAAGATAATAGCTATGCTTTTCTGAGGTCTCTCTAGACATAGGAACTAAGGCAGTTCTTGTTGATTGAAACAAATAATCAGATTTTCATTTGTTGTATCTATTTGTCTATACACAGAACTGGATATTACCAAACACAGCCATAAGGAGTCCTTTATGTTTCCTTAAATTTGTTTGTTTTAATTTCTAGAACTACAGAAAGTGGATATTGTGGGGCAAGTTTGTAGGATGAGTTCTGGAGAGGACTGGGAAGTTGAAAGCAATTACAAAGACTACATGATTCTGTCAAAAGACTCTAGCCCAAAGTTTAATGGCTTCCTTGAGTATCCCATTTTTGGGGTCCCAAGTGTTGTGTCATTTTCTTTCATCTTCAACTTAAAACACTGTTAAAATGAAATTTTAAACACCGCTACCACGTTTACTCTTCTTTTCACAGTACATAATGATCTTACTGGAGTCTTGTGTGGCACAAATAGGGTAAGCTTGGCTACTAATAAAAAGGTTGTCTGTTTAAGTCAATCACCTAGTCAGCAACACTGTGAAAGAAAGTCCCCAGCATGTACTTCTGCAAAGATTCTAGCCAGAAAAACCTTATGGAAAACTCTTCTACTCTGTATAAAATGCAACCACTATGAATCGGAATTGACGCAATGGAAAAGGCTTGGGGTTTTGGCTTTAATGGGTTTACTAGACAAAAACACCAGTTCCTCTTCAATCTTCATAGTAGTTTTCAAATTTCCACTTTTGATTTGGCTTCATTGGGTCACAAGGAGCTGCCTTCAAGGTCTTCTGAGGAAAATTTCCTTCTAAGCATAATAACTGATGATAGTTTTCAAAAACAATGTGATTCACCTGAAGAGAAAGGGAATCTGGCAATTAATCATGGACTGAATTTAATAACTAAGGTTTCAAGAAATTGAAATCACAATTTATAAGTATATTGGTGACTCCATGGGAATTTTCCTAAAGAAATAATATAAACACAGACTTTAATATCAATAGAGATCAAAGTTGAGCCTATGGAAAAGTTATCTAATTGAGGCTTGGAATCTCAGTAGGACTCAGGCAAATTGTAAATAAACTCTATATTATTATTATTTTAAGGGCTACCTGTTTCCCTAAACTTTCATCATCAGCCTAAGATATCTAATAACTAATTCCCTCTTGGAAATAATGAATATCTTCTTATTCTCATTCTCTCTCTCTCTTGCTCTCTCATTCTTGGCATAGAAATAAGAAGGTGAGATAGAATTTATTCATAAGATAAAATTTAGGCATCTTTTTCTCCAGAAGTTTGCAAAATACGTTAATAGCTGTATACTAAAAATTTTCATGTTTCTTCCCCCAAATAAACAATTCTCTTGAAGGAGTACAATAGAAATTACCTAGTGGGAGGAAGATTTGAGAATGTGACACTCAGGTTCATAGATTTGGACCTTGAGTAGGGGAAAATGCTATGAAAAGAAGCATATCCGTGTATGACATCAGAAAGAGTACAGGCAACTCTAATTAAAAAAAAAAAAAAAGAGGCTTTTACTCTGACGGCAGCTCTGGTCAAAATGATTCTCCCTAAACACCCAATGCAATCAGTGGATTTGGTGGCTAAAAGTGAGGTTATTGGGACTTGTGAGAAGACAGATCTGAAATTACTTCCATCAAACTGCTTTCCCACATCAAAGGTTATTTTTTTGTGTGTGTCCTGCTAAAATATATTTCGGGAAGACTGAGATAACACAGAGAGTGAATAGGGATGTTCTGGCTAAAATTAACTGGATCTCTGTCTGGAACAATATGCCCTGATTCGTATAGTGCCTCCCAATTTCTACATCTAGTTTCAAGTTATTAATCTAACATCACTGAGTGCAAAGATGGGAAGAGCAATAGTCCCTGAAGACTTGCTCCAGACATTGCGGGGAGCCCAGGGCTCTGCAAACCCTCAGAAGTCTTTTCATGGAGTAAAGAAGCAGAAACAAGAACAAATTCACACTAAAGTACAGGTATTGCAGGAAGCATGCCCTTTATTGCTTTATCCCATAGCCTCTCCCTATAACCTTTTCAGGTACACGAGGAGAATCAGTTTTAGTAATAACCCTTACTTTTTTGAATTGTTCACTGGCTGAAGCAAATGATTTTTTGAAATAAATATAAATAAAATAAATTAATAATAATAATATATAATAATTATATATAATAAATACAAATAAATGACAGTAGCAGCATAACCAGAAGAACCTGGTTCCTTTATGTAACATAAAAGTGGTGTGGGAGAGATTCTGTGAAAGAAAAGAGCAGACTCGACAATTTGCCAAAATATCTATTTGTCTCTCTGTGTGAACTTTTACACTGTGCTATTGTCACAAACACGTTTAAAGCTTCTGACTGAGGAAACTGACAATGAGATTTTTTATGTCCTGTTTGATTGAAAGTTGGATCTGTGGTAAAGAAGAGGTACAGATATTTTACTTACCAGTTCTGGACGAAACACTGATGTTGATTTATGCAGCCACCTTAGCCCTTTGTTTCTGTTATCACAGGCTTGCACTCTTATGGCTCCTTTGTCAGGAATCGGCATTAAACACCATTCTCCATGTTTAATAAGTCTTAACCAGGTGTAATTAAATTGTTGGAACTGTGGGCCAAATGAATAACAAGACAACAAACATTGAGAGGGATTTTGTCAGTCATTTGCTTTACCAGTGGTTCAAATGTTTTCTATTCAAATCCTGTAACCAGATGTTGTGTATACAAATCTTATTACTGCCTACTTTCAGCTCTGATAGAACAAGCAAATGATTTAGAATGTCTAAACTAATTTTTCAAGTTAGGTAGTAATAATATTTTTCTCAGAGGGTCAAAGTCATGACTGCAAAATGTTAAATGTTTGGCACACAAATAAGTCTTCAAGCAAAGTTGATTGTAATAATAAAAATTCTAGCACAATCAGTTCTTATCATGAAATGGATATAATTCCTTATCTTGAAATGGAAATAATTCTTGGTAAACCTAGGTATTTGAAGTATTGGAATATTGCTAAATACTGTCTGAGCCTTTGGGGCTACAACTCATAGTTTCCTAATAAGAATTATTGTATTTCCTTATTTAAGACTTTAGTGACAGCTGGGAGGAACCCTGGTGGTACAGTGGTTAAAAATCCAGTTACTAAGCAAAAGGTCAGCAGTTTAAATGCACCAGCAACTTCAAGGTAGAAAGAGGAGCTAGTCTGCTTCCATGAAGACATGTAGCTTTGTAAACTCTTCCCTACAGGATCACTATGAATTAGAGTCAACTTGATGGCAGTGGCTGGGTTGACAAGTGGACCCAGGAATATTGTTCTAGTGTTAAAAAGATTTAAAAAAAAACAAAATTCTATCTTCCTGTTAACGCACTCTTTTCAAAGCTGTCAAGTTGGATCCAACTCACAGTTGACTCCCCAGTGGATTTTACAAAATGTAAATTATATGGGAGGAATTTGCCCTTCTTTCTCCAATGGAGCTGCTGGTGAATATGAACCAACAGAGAAGTGTGGGCTTTGGATTAATGCTGCAATTCTCTAGGGACTATACTAGTTATCCCATGTTAATATCTCCCATTTTGTAGGAACTTCTCTGAGTGAGGCTATCAATGATTTCAATTTGAGGAGTTATCAATGTCTAAAATAAATACTGATTCAGGACAGGGAGCTAGGTTTTCAGTACTTATGTAAGTATTTCCTTGGGTTCTTATAACCTAATATTATCTACCACGTCAATTTACTTCTAGGTTCTGGAGCTGTGGAAAATGTGCTGTCTTCCAAAACAATAGGGTAAAAATAAAGTGAAATTTCCTAATATGAACCTATTAGGAAAAAATAAAGAGAAGGCTGGTAAAAATCTAAATAAATTACTTTACCTTAAAAGTCAGTTACAATGCATTTGAGATTTAATAAAACTTTTTGTTTGTTAGTTTTTCTAAATCCCTACTGTTGTTGTTGTTATGTGCCATTGGGTTGCTTGAGACTCATAGCAACCCTATGTACAAGAGCCCTAACACCATTCTATCCTGTGCCAACCTCGCCGTCTCAAACACACTGATTCCCACCACTCCACTCACAGAATCGATCCATCTTATCGAGGTCTTCCTCTACTGTGCCATCCCTCCACTCTCCAAAACATGATGTCCCTCTCCAAGGATCAGTCCCTCCCTTTCTTGCAACATGCTGAAAGTATGTCAGACAAAGCTTCAGAATTCTTAACCTCAAGGAGCATTCTGGCTTCACCGTCTCCAGGACAAACCTATTTATTCACTTAGCAGTCCATGGTACATTCAACACTCTTCTCCAGCACTACAGCTCAAAGACATCAATTCTCTTTCTGTCGTCCCTATTCACTGTCCAACTCTCTGATGCATATCACATAATTGCAAAGACAATAGCCTGGATCAGGCTCACCTTAGTCTCCAGCCTGACGTCATTGCTCTTCAGTACTCTTGAGAGGTCCCTCACAGCTGACTTTCCCAATGCAATTCATCTCCTGATTTCCTGGCTGCTGTAAGACCCTATTATTATTATTATTTTTATTTTATACTGGGTTACATACAATGTTCATAAAATTTGTATACATTTTCCACACTGGATCTTTTGTACTATAACTGAGATTTAATTTTGGTTGTCAGGTATGTCATTGTATTTTGTGCATTAGCATCACCTGGGAGCTAGTTGAAAACACAGAATTTCAGTCCCACCACAAACCTACTGAACAGTAGGTTGTGACTACTTTGTCACAAAGTACTTTGTCAGGTGATATGTTGTTATTAGTGCTGTCAAGTTGAGTACAACTCATAACTACTCTATTTGGTTTTAAAGTTCATTAAGGAGATTTTCTTTAAAAAATAAGTTGAAGGTAAGACTTGCAGTTTCAATCTAGAGTTTTTCTTTCTTTTGATCTCTGTTTTTTAAAAAATAAACTCTGCAATTTGGTAGTAAAGCTCATTAATTCTGCTGGAAATACAATAAAATTGTTCACGTTCCTTTACTATTTATTACTCATACAAACTCTAAGAGGCAGATGCTAGAAATGAGCAATATGACCAGAAAGGATGGTTGGAAGACAGAAGCTGTATGATTCATGCTCTGGAGTGCTAGCATCCCCAGGAGAGACTCAGTGGTTCTTTATAACACAATTCGTATTTTCAGATGCAATAGTGGGTTATCTAGAAGGCACAGAAAAGCTTCTACACTGATCAGAGCCTTCAAAAATTACATTCTTTAATGTCTACAATTTATTACTTTACTCACCTTTAAATTGTTGCTAAATATTAATTATTTCTTTCAATTGACTTTTGGTATTTTTCTCTTTCTTATGTCTGCCTCATCCCTTTTCTAATTAAATTAAGACACGGTTCCTTTAGCTTCAGATTCATAAATCACTGTTGAAATAGAGCCGCATTAGAAATGACAAGGCGTCTTCTTTTTTTTTTTTTAAGGTGGTGGTATTAGTTGCTGTTGAGTTAATTCTAACAGATGGCAGCCCCACAGACACAGAGTAAAACTGCTCCACAGTGTTTTCAAAGCTCTGAACTTTTGGAAACAGATTGCTAAACCCCTTCTGGGTGGGTTTGAACCACCAGTCATTCAGCTTAATTGAGTGCTTAACTGTATGTGCCAAACTGAAGAGGTTGACGTGGGGTGTACTAAAAATACAAGCGATATCACACTCACTCACCCGCTTACTCAGGCCGTAGAATCAGTTCTAACTCACAAAATCCCTTCATCAGTTTCTAAAGTTATGAAATTACTTTGCTCCTTTTTCCTCCTGGATTCAAAATGATGGAAATGTACAGCTTCTGGGTTAGGAGCACAGCTCCCTACAGACGACACCACCAGAGCCTCAAACCGATATCATTAAATCAAAGCAACGAGTAAGTCTCGGCAAGGCTGCATCATCATCATCAAATACCTTCTCCACTAAGGGAGCTCAGGTAGCCTAGTGGCAAGAAGCTGCACTGCAATCACACATGCATGTGGTTTGAATCCACCAACTGCTCCACAAAAGAAGGATGAGCGGTCTCTATCCATGCAGTAAACTGGCTCTGAAAACCCGGCAGAGGGTCAGCAGCTATGGGTCAGTTCTGGCTCGATGATACACAGCAACAACAACAACAAAGAGTTATCTGCACTTTTTGAACTGATGCCACATTTTTTTTTTAAACTCATAATCTCATTTGACATCCAAACCAGATAACTGTCCCCACAGAATGCAGAATTCCAAGGGCATTTGCGTTAGAGCGGAAGTTGAAAACTCACGAGTCACCTCCGAGTCCCTGCTCTGCTCTCTGGTCAAGTCCACCAGTAACCACTGGCATCTGAGCTTGCCAAGCCTTTACTAGGACCACGGGTCAGAAATTATGAGATTTCCGTCACTCCCTCAAAATGCAGAAGAACACGGGAGGGGGGATGGGAGATAGAAACAGAGTCTTTGATTTCTTCCTAAGATAATGATTTTAAACTCTGTCGTTTATTTTCTGTTATTACAACATGCTCATATGTTCCGTGGCATTTTCCACATTGTTGTCTTTGTTATAACAGGGTAGGGAACTCTGGTGTCCACAAGAAGTTGTGTGGCTAACAAAAGATCCCCATCTCCAGTAGTTTGAATCCACCAGCAGCTTCACAGAAACCAAACAGAGGATCAGCTATGAGTTGGCTTTCACTCAACAGCAGTGAGTTTGCTTTGTGTGGGTTGTTTTTTTTAAATATTATAACAGGAGGTCTAAATGTCAGGTTTTTGTTTTTACATGCACAGGAAGCATAATTATAATTAATTCCAATAGTAACTTAATCCCATTTTTAAGACAATTTTAGAGCTGTGTGTGCTATTGTTGCATTGTTTTTATAGTCAAGTCAAAACCAATCCATGGCTGACCCTCCAGCAGGTTTTTAGAGGCAGTAAATACGCATGAGAGAGATTGCCCGTATTTCCCATGTATTTGAACCACATGCCTTCGTGTTGGCAGTTCAACTCCTTACCACTAGGCTACCAGAGCTCCCTCACATACCATTACTACTCCCATTTATCCAAATGTTAAGTAATCTGCAAGCTTTGGGGCCACTACTGGATCCCTGGTGGGTTGGCTCCGGTATTCAACCTTCATTCTCTCTCTCAGTGATTGTCTTTACATATAATGTGTATCATCTTATCATTAACTTTCTGATGATGCAGAAATTTAGAAGCTAATTATGGATCCTATTGAGCAATGCAGTTTAAATACACCAACTGTTCCATGGGAGAAGGATGAACAATCTCCTCCAATGTGACCTATTGCCTCTGAAAACTCACTGGAGCGTTAGCTATGGGTCAGTTGTAATTTGATGACACACACCAACAATAACAATATTGAGGGAAGGTTAATTTATTTAATGATGAATTACTTGGTATAATACCTTTCTTAGATATTAACTAAACTAGGTAAAATGAAAAAAAAAAAAAAAACACCAAAAACAAACCAGGGTGGCATACCTTGCTATTGGCAACACAGTCTTCCAGAATAGCTGTAGTGTTTTTGATGGAAACACATTTACCCAAGGCCACATTAATAAGCTAGGAAGCAAAGTATAAAATTTGAATTAATTAAAAAAATGGTTAAATAGGACAAGATATTCAGACATGTTCAGAGAACACAGACTATAAAAGCACAATAAGGTTAAAAGATAGCTAAGTGAATAGCTTAGCCTTACTTAGCACTATACAATTTTATTGGTTGCTAGCTGTAACAGAGACATAATGTAATCTTACTAAAGTACAGCTTCAATCTGTCAATTTAGGTCTGTGATCCAGTCACAGAGCCAACAAACAGAAGCTTTTAATTAACCCTTGCCTGGAATGCGGAATGAGGAATGAGCCAACGACGGCATGAAAAGTAGCTATTTTCCTGTCTCGAGTTCTTCTGACGCATATATTAGAAGTCAATGCACATCCGTGCAATTTAATCAAACCAACAGTTAGTTACCAGTTCTGTTCCCTGGCTGACCTCTCCGACTATTTGACTGCTCAGGCACTGAATCATAGATAAATTGAGTCCTTCAGAGAACAGCTGATTCCCTGTCAGAATCTTCCTAATGACTCAGGCATGCTACAATTCATTTCAGGAAAGTCACGAAAGCTAACACAGAGCCAACCTTACAGGCCCTTCCTGGCAGACCCCCAGCTTTTTAATGGATTTACAGGGTCAAATATGGAGGTAGGTTTCTATAAGTCACTGTTTAATGCAGAAAAATGTTGAATCTTTTACCCACTTTGACATTCTGAGACAGGGCTAACGAGAGGGTGGGCTAATAGTGCAATTTAGATTTCTATAAGCTCTGTGCAGACGGAGTTTATATTATATGCCTCAGAAGAGCCTCCTGAGCTGGGAAGTAGTAGAGTCTTTTAGATAGTCACATTATTTGTTTCCCTTCCGGTTCTCTGAGGTGATTACCACAGAGCTCTGATTCCAGGGTGCTGAATTGATAGTGGTCTTGCAACTCCCCCAGTTGCCAGAAACTCCAAGAGCATGGTTAGTTAGCTGATTTTCATTTTTAAATGCATCACTTAGCTTGAAAGAAAAGAAAAAGAATCTTCAAGAACCAGAGAATGTAGAAAAACAATTCGGGATTTTTTGCTAAGAAAGGGGTGGTAGCCACATGAAGAGGAAAATGTAGTCGTGGATAAGCCAGAGAGTTGAAATTGAGATCTGGTACATGAACATTGAAATGGGAACGGTTTGGCCATCAGGGAAATAGCCTATTATTATTGACCACCATGGAGTGGGTTTTGACTCATGATGACCTCATTTTTACAGAGATCTGCTACATGTCGTTCCATGTCTTCTGAGGGCTTCTAGGTGGATTTGGACTATCAATCTGTCTATCATTTGTAGCAGAGAGCTACCCAGGGACTCTAATTTACAAAAATATTTCATCCTTTAGCACAAAAAAAAATAACAAGGAAGCTTGATTACACTGCCCTGGGCTCTGATTTTTCAAAGAAAAACCTTCCTGGGAACCAAAAACCTTACACTAATCTTTCATTGGGTTTGAGATGCGCAAATTCATTACTAGTATTAGATGGGAATGCTGACCCTGGCAGTACAAAAACAAACACAGAAATAAATATCAGGTTGGTTCTTCTCAAGTGCCTGGCACAAAGATAATCAAACAATGCTAGAAAGATGACATTTCCATGAAAAAAAAAATCCTCAAAGAAAGCTTTATTCACAATTTAAAATGACAAACAATGGAGTTGGGTGGATGGGGAGGGAGAAGCAATCCACCCTCCGTACATGTGAATACTCATAATGTCCAGAATTCAACAGTTGAGAAATTTAGAGAGGAGAGGTCATAGAAATTCATGAAGGCAAAATAATCCTGGGGTTTAAAGAAAGGAAATAGTGACTTGATCATTCTGTGGGTCCTCAGAGCAGTAAATGTAAGTATTGTGCATTTGTGGATTATATTCTGTCTGCAAACAAGTAGGAGAAATTCTGGATTCAGTGCTGCCAAACAGGTTCTTATTCAGAAACTCTTTTCAGAACCTCCTGTGTGCTGGTTCTCATTTTGCAATGTTAGAGTGAATGTGCTATAAGCATTTGCTGAATTTGCTTTACCATAAGACCTTATTTTGGCATCTTACCTATTACCATTATCCAGAAGAGGGTTGGAGATCCCTGGTTTAACTAAAACGTATATCCATCTATATATATCTTTATTTCCCACAATCACTACTTCCGCCAGGTGTTGAAAGGTGAGAGAAAAATTTTCCATTCCCTCTCACTCCTCCCCCACTTCATCTGAAAAACTGGCAGAAATTACTGGAGAAACATCTTTATATGCATATAAATGGTCTATAAATGTTAAAGAATTGTAACTTTGTTATTAATTTTTCATTTTTCTTTTTAGATAATTGTACCTAGGCCTCTTAGGGTACACCATTTAATCGTTTCATCCTTCTAATAATTTTATTGGTTTGCATTTACTCATTCATAAGCACTGTTTCATGCACATACATTGTGTTTTATACAATCATTTATATACATTGCATTTTATAAATTACTACTTATCTATGCCTATTATTGTACATAGGGTTTTCGAAGGTCTGTAATTTCAGAATTGGATGACCAATCCTTCTTCCTAGTCTGTCTCAATTTTTAAATATATATAATTGTATCTGACAGACAAGCATTCTACAGAAGAGAGTAAATGAAAGACATTTACCAGTTAGAAAGACCAATATTCAATATTGCTGCCCACCCAGCTACATGTTTGGTTGGTTTTGGGTTTTGGGGTTTTGTTTTTTGTTTTGGCTTTTTTTAAATCCACCCTTTCCCTACTCCACCACCAACCCTTCCTGCTTTTGCTTACAACATTCAACACCCGTCTCCCATTGACCAGCCCCTGATGTGATGTCCTAAGTCTCAAGTAATCAGGATTCCTCTGATTCTGACCATATCATGCTGCTGTCATTCTCTTATGATGCAGAATGACTTCAATTTAAAGTTCTTAAGTAAAACTCTCATGTACAGCTTCTTTTCCTGGAAGATCCTGAGAAAAAGGCCTCTTAAACTTCCACTCCAGGATTGACTTCTTGTGGGTTAATACCACTTGTCTTCTGTTTGCAACCTGGTGCTGATGCAAGCGGATGGCTTCCCAGTAGAGAGAATGTGTAGGACCAAGGTACAACTTTTGTTTCTGGAGGACAGCCAGCTGGCCAACTGACTGGAAGAGATCAATATTTGTTCCCATTGCAAAGAAAGGTGACCCAAAAGAGTGTGGAAATTATTGAACAATATCATTGATATCACATGCAAGCAAGATTGTGCTGAAAATTATCCAAAAATGTTTGGAACAATATGTCAACAGAGAACTGCCAGATGTGCAGGCTGATTTAGAAGAGGTCGTGGTACTAGGGACATTATAGCTAA